ATGTATTTATATAATCAATTTACTGGGTGACAACCAGACATTTCAAAAGTGAAATGGAGAAACCATACAAGAATAGAAAATACAAGAGTCAATTCTATGCAGCATGAGTAACTAGTGCAAATATATGTTTTTTGTTTCAGTTACATATATGAATGTGTGAGTACACATATCCTGGTCATCATGTAGACTGTGATTCTCCCCGTGGGTCACAGTCAAAAGGTTTGACAGCCATTGATTTGCCATCAAATGGTAACTTTGAGGTATCAGTACTCTTAGTTTACATTTTAACTTATGTCTATTCTCACCACAGAGGCCAGAGTAGGACCTGTATGAATGAGATCATATCCCTTGCTTAGAACCCACCAATGGCTTCCCCTTGTGCTCTCCTACTGTCTCTGACCCTGTATCTCCTGACACTCCCCTTCACTCACTCTCTGAGACAGGTGTGATTCCTTTGTGGTACTCAAAGGTTTCAGGGGCCTAGGTTCTACATAGGTTGTTCTTTTGCCTGGAGTTGCTTTTTCCAGGGCATGACTCTTTCCCTCACATCTTTTAAATTTCTCTCGGGTATGTCTTTCAATCTTTCAATCATTCCCTTTAAAATTGTGGATTAATGGCTATATAGGAAGAAGAGAGACCTGTGGTTCCCTAACGGCCCTACACACCCCCTCATTCTGTATTGGGTTTTTTTTTTTTTTTTCCTGGCTATTGCTATCCTGATTCACTTATTGTGCCATTATTTCTGTCTCTCTTGACTAAAGTGTGAACTCCACAGAGACAAGAATTTGTATGATCTGTCTGGGTATGTATACCTCTGACACTGAAAGCTATGTGTGCCGCAATGCAGGTGCTTAGTGGAATCTATTTGTGCAATTGTGGCATTTACAGAAATGCATTCAAATCCATGCACTGGAACACTTTTCTTTGCCTCTGGTCAGTTACAAGTGGTAGAAATCTTTGGCTAATTCTCATGAACTGCTGCTCCTCCCTCCATTCTGCTATGGAGTGGGAGTAGTCACTGAGTGCCTTCCCCATGGCTCATACTAAGCACAGAAGATGACTAGATGAAAGGCCCATGTCAAAAACTCAAACCTTCTGGTCCCCATGTCCTTTGTAATCTAGTCCACACTGACCTTTCAAATCCCATTACTTATTTCTCTTGGCTCTTCACAAGCTTCTTACTGCACACTCAGATCCTGTTTTTGAACTCTAATGAAATTGTAGTCCTCTGGATGTATTATTTCATATTGTCCTATTGCCTGATACTTTATATTTATAATCTAGAATAAATCTAGATTTATTTATAATCTAGAATATTTATAATTATTTATAATCTAGAATAAAAATATTTCACCTTGTTTATGAACGGTTTTCCCTTGCTATGGTTTGAAGTTGCTTCTGCCCATTCATGGCTTGGAAATTTAATCCTCAAATTCAAATTCATAGTTGATATAGTATTTGAAGGTGGGGTCATTAGGGGATAATTGGGGTTGGATGAGGTCATGAGGATGGGGCCCCTGAGGGGATCAATGGCTGTATGGGAGGAAGAGACCTGCGTGTGTTAACTTTTCCTCACCATGTGATGCCTCCTAACATATCACCAAGCAGCAGGGAGACCCTTGCCAGATGCAGACCCTCAATCTTGGACTTTCCAGCCTCCAGATCTGTGAGCTCAATAAATTTCTGAGTTTTATAAATTACCTAACCTGCAATATTCTGTTATAGTCACAGAAAATGGATTAAGACATTCCTCTTTGCCCCCCTGCTTCATCCAAGAATTTCTGGAGACTGAGAAGCAGCCTGATGAGTAAAAGAAGACATGGTAAGTCAAACCAGACTTTACCATATACTATCTATATGAACTTGGGCAAATTATGTTGCCTTGGTCTTCTTACTTATTGTGAGTGTGTGTGTGTGTGTGTGTATGTGTGTGTGTGTGTGTGTATCTCATGGGGACATCCTAAACTTATTAAAGTGTAATTATTAAACCTTATGGCAACTATGGAAAGTATACATGTCACTTTACTCTTCTCTCAAGTACTGTATGCATATCCCTATCAGCACTCTTCCATTTGGGGCAATTGATTATTTATTCATCTGTCTTCTATAATTGAAGTTCCTGAAGGCCAAGGCCATGTCCTATCCGCCCCCCCCGCTTTTATATTTTTCCTTGCAGCTCCCAACATGGTTCATATAACAGGTGCTCTGTCAGTGCTTGTATAAAAGTTATGATGATGATACTGATATAATTATAAGTGACTACCACTTATTAAGGGCCATTGTGTCAACGTGTTACATGAACCACCTTGTCAATCCCTCACCATAGTGCTGTGAGTGTCTGCTCTTCCGGCCCCCATCTTACAGATGAGGTAACTAATTCTCACAAAAGTTTAAATAATTCAGCCAAAGGTGCAGAGCTCTGATGGGACAGACCTGGGGTTCAAAGGCAGTGAGTGCATTGAATGAGCTTCAAGCTATAGACCACACCTCTGAGTGGAATTTTCTTGTTTCAGGGGTAAGCCCTTGGTCAATCCTGATGCTATTTCCATGGTTCCCCACTCTACATACAAAACAATCCTGCCGGACAGGCCCAAACATCTGGCCAATGGGAACTGGACAAGACTCCATCTGGAAGCCATCAGCGCCTCTCATGGGTCAGCTGCAAAGGATTTTATTTCAAATGACCCAATACATTTCCTCTGCTTCCCCTTCACAGACAGATTTGTTGGCTGCACTATTCTGATATCTTAGGGGTAAAGGGGCCATTTTAATGGCAAGTTAATCTCAAATCAGTGAATTCCCAAATGATATTTGCTATTGTCAAAGAGTAAGTTTCCATTTTTCCAACCAAATCTACTTCATAAACATTAAAATTTCTTCCATAGATTCCAGGTATATCTGAGAGCTCAGACTACTCCTAATTGTGCAAATGTACTATCTTTTCTACTCATTTAAACAATCTGAAGGCACATTGCCTTATTTCCAACCAATTTTCTGCTTTTAAGATTAAGAATTTGATGGTATATATTTCCTCAGCTTCCTCCTAACTGACCATGAGACCAAAAGGTGGAAAGTCAGAGAACTCCACTATAATCCCTTGTAAGCAACATTAATCACTTCCTCACACTTCACACCTTGATAAAGAGCAAAATTAAGGTACTAGGGTTAACTAGAGCCACAATGAAATCTTTGATTTCTATTTCACTATCCTAACTCATAGTTATCAATCCAGCCAGAAAATCTCAGCTAAGTACTTAATGATACATGTTCAGACTTCAAGATGTAGAGACTTAAAAACAACAACAACAACAACAAAGTACACCAATTCCTTTTTCCACTCTTAACAACAACAACAACAACAACAACAAAAACTCGTCTTGATACTTCTATTGCAATATTCAGAAACCATACTTTTTTTTTTTCAGGAAACAAAACACCAGAATCAATGAATCAATGAATCAGATGAGTTTTCTAAGCAGTCAGTGTAGCACTTCTAAAAGATTCCAAAAGCTCGCTGATCTAATCAGGAAGGAGAAATACTTTAAGAACCAAACAGTCTGTCCACATAGCAACATGCAATTACAATTTAAAATGATGATTACTTTTCACGTGATTTCTTTTGCTCACGAAGCCATGCCATGCAATTCCTAAAGTTACATTAGTAAAAAAAAAAAAGTTGGAGTGGCAATCTTCTTAGTAAAATATGAAGCGATCTTTAAAAATTAATTATTTTTAAATTTTACACACACATACACAGAACCATCTTGATTTATCACCTAAAAATTAAGTTCTTGAAATTGTCAGATCAAGAGATGTTTACATCTTTAAAAAGTATATATTTCAGGAAATTGCTTTCCAGGAAAGTTGTATTACCCTATACAAACAATGGCAAATGAAAATTAATTTTTTAAATAAGAGAAATAGCTACATGGATAAATCATATTCAGACCAAATAAAATGTAATAAATGTGTATCATATACTATTGCAATATGTAAGGCAATAGTGGTGTCTACCTTGGTTTACCATGTTAGCTCTTAACAAAGTGTGATAGACTGTATTCTCTTGCATCAGAGCAATAGGCAAAAAAAAAAAAAAAAAGAAAAGAAAAAAGTAATAGGATCAATGGTGTAATTGTGTATATGGGCTGGGGCTCAGCCTTTGGCCTTCTGAGTCACACTGTTCACTTTTGTAATTCTCTCCTTATGCATCCTTACTTTTTAGCTTAGTATATTCAATGGTTCCTGGATAATGTGTCTCAAAATTATTGAAATTTAATTAGAAAATGTCATCATTAGGAAATTTTAGGCTAAAAAATAAGTTCAGATGTACGATTAGTATAAAAAATGTCTTGGTATATCTATTCTTTAGGCTTACATAAAATAGTGACCCTCATTCATTAATTTAGTATTTACTGAGTGCTGGATAGGTATTAGGCCCTGTGGTACAGACTGAGTAGTCAATGGTGAACTAAACAGGTTTTGTTCTTGTCCTTATGGAGTTCATATCCAAGTAAATACAGAATCAAACATTCATTAATTGCTATGAAGTATTGACTACTATAAAATGACATAAGGTAGAAGGGGAATAGGAACATTTTCTATGAATAAGTGTCTTTTACACAGTTGAATAAGTAACCAGATCAACAAATGGGAATTCTAACAGGTCCATAATAGTTTCAACATAGAGTTTACCATAGGAACCAGATATTTTACTCCAAGGTATGTACCTAAGAGCAATGAAACTTACATCTGTACAAAATCTTATACCCAAATGTTCATAGTAGCATTATTCAGAATAACTAAAAAGTGGAAATAACTGATGAATGTGTAGATTTAAAAGTGGAATTTTCAAAATATGGAATATTATATATCAAGAAAAAGAAATGGAGTCTTGATACATGCTACAACATGGATGCAACTTGGAAACCCCATGCTAAGTAAAAGAAGCCAACACAGAAAGCCACAGATTATATAATTCCTTTTATATTTAATGTCTGGAATGTTCCAATCTATGAAGATAAAAAGTACAATAGTGGTTGCTTGGGCTTGAGGTGGTATGGTGGGGGAAAATGAGGAGTGACTGCTAATGAATCAGAAGTTCTTTTGGAGTAATGAAAATGTTCTAGAATTGATGGTTGATGGTTTGCACAATTCTGTGAATGAACAAAAAACCATTGAATCATACATTTTGAATGAGTATGGAATGTGAATTATATATCAATAAAGCTGTTATATTAAAAAAGGAAAAAAATGGGAGCACTTTGGGAGATTCATTAATCAAGCATGAGTCCATTAGTTGAGGTCTGTGGGAAAAGGAGTCAGGGTTGATTTTTTTTCTTACCTTGGGCTCCCTGGAAACTCATTTTCCTGTGGAAAAATTAGAATAAAGCTCATCACATTTTACATCAGTCAAGTCACTTTATTACATGTCATTTTAGCTGCCAAAAAACACAGATTGGCTTAATATACAATCATTGATCAATGAGCCTCATTTTTCCCTAATTTTCTGCATATGTTATATTATAGCCAGTGGATATTAAGGAGGGGGTCATATAACTTTAAAATGTCTGCAGGATGTGCAATATGCAATAATCTCCATCAAACTTTCAGAAGATGTCCAGCAGCCTTTGGTTATCAGTGAACTTTCTAGCATACAATAAAAGTTGGAGTTTTCCTTGGAGTTTTTGGTAAAAATTATGATCACTATATAAATCATGGTCAGCAAGCTATAGTAGCTGTTTGAGTATTTTAATTAAACATAGAATCAGGTTTCTTCTAAAGTTGAGAAAAACATTCTCAAGCCACACTTTAGTCCCTTTTAAAGGTGATTTATCCATTAAACATCCAACTGTAATGCTGGGAGATATAGTTGTGCTGGGACGCTCAATTCTAACAAAGGAGATCATCTCCAAAATGCAATGTCCTGGACCATGGGCATGGAATGGCTGCCATCTAAGAATGATGGACAAAGCAGAAGATTCTAAGAGTAACCAAGGTTTTTGGGTTCTCTTAAATTTTATTTTTAACTGACATAGGACATGGATATTGAATGACTTTTTTAAACATTGGCAGGAGATAGGACTTTTCTGAGGAGCTGGATATTATCCTTGCCAAGCTCTCAGTGGGATATGGCTCTGTATTTGGGGTTGAAGTCAGATTCCCTTTGAACTATCCTAGGATTTTTTTTCCCTTTATGCTGTTGTTTTTTATAAGAGAAAAAATGTAAATTGCTTTTCCTTATGCTTTAAAATATATACAACACAAAAATTTATATGAAAATGTATACAGTAAACTGGAAGATAATATATCAATTTAAATAGTGGTTATCTATAGTTTAGGATAATTTGTTTTCAAAATTTTCTGCAAAGAAGTTTTATTATATCAATGTCCAAGAAAAAAAAAAAAACATTCCCTTGAAATTTTTCTAGGAATGTCAATTACTTACTTGCTTCTTATTTCAAAGTAGCATCTGGAATTTTAGTTATTCTAGTGATGAGTCCTCTATTTATTACGTCATAGAGCATGGGTTTTGGAGTCAGACAAATTAAGGTTTCAACCTCTGCCTTGGATGACAAGAAGAGAACTAATATAAGATGCTGGCTCCTGATGCCAAATCTGACTCTGGAGATGAAATGAAAACAGGTCAGGAGTTGATTATGCAAAGATCTCAAAAATTTTGAAAAATTCATAAGAGGCAAATATGGAAAGCAGGGGAACACCAGTCAAGGGAAGAAGTGGAATAAATACCTGAAAGGAGGAAATTACTGGGAATACTAACTCTGAGGGGAACAAAACACTCTTGGATTAGCAGATCAGTGAAGTTAATCTCATCTTACTTCTACCTTAGAGCAGGTGCTTATAACAGAAAAAGGTTGTACTTCTTCAAATAAGTGTAATGAGAGGTTCTTTGGAGATAAGGGAAATGGGGAGAGGGTAGTCCCAGGTTGTAATTTCATAGTTCTTCCCACTTCAAACATCCCCACAGTGAAACTTTCAGTATGACATCACAATGGTGATGCATGTCATTATACATATGTTCAAATCCATAGAATCTATTATCACCAAGAGTAAGCCCAATGTATGCTGTAGACTGTAGATGACAATTATGTGTAAATGTAGTTCATCAATTGCAAGAAATGAGCTATCATGTGCCAAAAATTGCTGGAGGGGGTAGGAGAGGTTATATATTTGTAGGGACAGGGAACATAAGGGAAGATTCTTTCTTAATTTTCTTGTGAACCTAAAAATTGCTCTAAAATAGTTTCTTAATTTTTTTAAAAAAGGTAAGGGTTATTGCATGAATTATAATGTAATTTAATATCATAATTAATCAATTCACCTCCAAATTTGAAATATAGGGCAACAGGGGAAAGTGACATTATCTCAATGACTGTAGAAATAAAATTGAATGTCTATTTATGATAAAATTCTCCAAAAAGGATTAGAAAAATATTTCCCTAACTTTACTCTATCTATCTATTTAAGGAAACTACAATAAATACAAGTTTTAATTAATGCACATTAGATACACACTCATGTAGGGAGCAAGGCAAAGATAGCTACTCATTACTGTTCTTGCCATGGACCCTGAAAGTCCTATCTAAAACAATATGACATAAAAAAGATGCAAGAGTCTTAAGAATTGAGAATAAAAAGACATAAGTATTCTATTTACAGGTATTTTAATCATCTTTACTGAAACCCCAATTAAATTAGCATATATTGATTATTATACCAAAGTAAATCAGATTGATAAACAAAGTCATCTTATAAGAATCAGTGATTCCCTTTCACACTAACAATAATTGAGTAGAAAATTTAATAGGAAATAAGACCCTCTTCACAAACACACACACACACACAAACCAGCAACTATAAAATACCTAGAAATTAACCTATTCAAGAAGCAAAGAAGAGTTGTTTTTTTTTAACAAATGTACAAAAATGTAAAGCACTGTTAAAGATTCAAATTAAGATCTGAATAAATAGAGGTTATAGACCATGTCCATGGATGACACAACCCAACATTGTTTTCAAAACATTTCTTCCCAAGACAATTTATACATTCCCATACAAAATTTAAGGAGAATTTTGTTTAGGGGCTTGGCAAAATGATTCCAAAGTGGATATGAAAAAAATAAATATGTTACATAACCCAAATTTTGTAAAAAGAAAAGAACAAAATGACCCTAGTATTTGCGGATGGGGTGGACAGCATACATGGTTTACAAGTTATTTAGAAATACTACACAAATCAAATCACAACTATTAAAAATAATGTGTTATTGGCACAAGTATGACCATATAATAGAAGAGAGAGCCTGGTGTATATACGAGAACAGATATTTAAGCAACACCATAAGTCAACAAATTAAAAAATGGATTGCTTATTAGAAGCTCTTAGGGAGACTGGCTTTCTACATGGAAAAAAATAAAACTCTTGATATTCATCACAGATAGAAGTGAAATCCAGGTGAAATAAAACTTAGAGGTGAAATACAACATACTAAATTGAGTAGAAAAAATGCAAAAAGAAAAGCTTCATGACTTTTGATGAAAACTTTTAGCTAGATCTAAAAATCATGAACCACAAAAGCCAAAAAAATAAAAAAAACTTTTCTACATTTTATATGAGGAGGCTGGAAATGCAGCTCAGTGTTTGCCTCTAATGCATTAAGCTCTGGGTTCAATCCTAAGTATAGCTAAAAATTAATAATTGTAATCATTAATAAAATTAGGGTTATTGTTTAAGGAAGGAATTCCAAAGATAACAGATTGAGAGATATTTAAAAGTAAAAATTTACCAGAAAATGACAGAAAACACTGTAGAAAAATAGATATTTTGAACATTGAAAATACAAAGGAGAAGTCAAAATGGCTAGCATGGGATGAAGATACACTTGGTCTCTGTAACAATTAGCAAATGTAATGTCATAAAATTTTACATCCATTACAGTGGCAAAAAATAGAAAGTTGTACCATACCAAGTGTAATAGGAAATGGGGAAAAGGTAAATACTTTTACTCAAGTGAGAGAGTCCATTTTATATGAATTCTGGAAAACTCTAGGCAGCACTTAATAAAATTGAAAATGTTGTTATCTTATGATTCAGAAATAACTTCCTGAGACTAGGCCTTTAAAAAGACTTTGGTCCATAAAAGATTATGTTTGGAGTTGTTTATTGCTTCCTGGAGGTAGCAGTGATTTTGGAGAGATCTAGAAATATCTAATAAAGGGCAGCGGATATATATGATGGAATACTATGTAGTAATCAGCAGCAATAAACTACAGCCTCATTATGAAAGCTGTGGAGTTTAAAAAACAGAATTATACCCACAATATAACATTTAGGAAAATTAAAAGCAGGCACTAAAATGCTATTTTTCAAGGAGACATTCAAGGAGTTGTTTGAAACACATTAGATTGGTGGCTTTGATGGGGAGATTGATGGCACGGTGCACTTAGAAATGCTGAGTAAAACATAAAATCAAGCACAAAAGGACCTTGCATGCTGATAATTAGCGTACCACAAACTGAACAGTAAGATGAACTCAAATCTCTTCGAGGCACATAACCTAAAAATTCAAATCATAGCTCCCACCCTTTAGAGCTGTGACATTCATGGTTGAATCACTTTACTTCTCAGAGCTTTAGTTTCCTGAACTGTAAAAGGTAGTGGGGGAAAAATGCCTCATTCTTTCAAATTAGGGGTAAATGAGATAAAGTGTAGCAAGCTCTGAGCCAAGTGTTAAAACAAGGTGAGTGTCCCTTAGGGCCAGCTGCCAGGCAACTGTCCATGGGACTTGGGGTTTAAAAAAGAGTCCTTGATGTCAGATGGGTTTGCTGCTTTTAAAATTGGTTGTATCCAGGTGCAATGGCACACACCTGTAATCCCAGCAGCTTGGGAGGCTGAGGCAGGAGGATTGCAAGTTCAAAGCTAACTTCAGCAACAGCGAGGCACTAAGCAACTCAGTGAGACCTGTCTCTAAATAAAATACAAAAATAGTGCTAGAGATGTGGCTCAGGGATCAAATGCCCCTGAGTTCAACCCCTAAAACTCCCCCGCAAAATAAAAACTTTCTCTGCCAGTAACCAGCTGTGACTGGCTACCCTGTCATTTATTCTGTTCTTTAAGCCATAAATCTACTCCCTGTAAAATGTGTATAGAATAAGGAGTTCTATGTCATGAAGGTCACACACCAGCAATGTTAACAAAGTTCTTAGCTGAGAGCCAGTACAAAATAAGTTTCCAATGAACATTTAGCATTTTTACTAATAATTTGCTAAAATCTTTAAAATTGACATTTTGGTTCATCAGGTGTTCCATGAAAAAAATAGCTATCTCCATTACATACTCAATCACACAACTTCCTTCCTTGAGACAGCCAATCATGGTATTTCAATATGTAGCAAAGGGCTCCACACATCCTTCTGTTTTTTTTTTTTTGTTTGTTTTGTTTTTTGTACTTTATATTAAACATGAATTTAAATTTTAAAATACAATAAAATTAGTAATTTTTTCTTAGTAATTAGAAATTTTGTCAATAACATCTTAAATTGGCTTTTTGTCCCCCTTGTGTGTGGAGAATAGAATGACCACTACTACAGTCTGGTAAAACTTCCTTAATTCACACTAAGGTGCCAATAGTCATACCTACCATTTATTCTGGAAATAACATTTGATGGTTATTTTAAAAACAGCTCTGAGTTCATGAAACTCTGGACTCAACCTTGAGTCTTTGTATCTAATGTATTGAAGTTGGGATTTTCCTCTTATTTCCCAAGGTAGTGTCTTCCATATTCAACATCCAACCATCACCCTGATGTGATATGAAAGGAGAACTGAGCAAGAAATGTGTTTGAAAGAGATAGACAAAGGAATAAGAAGAAAATGTGTGTGTGTGTGTGTGTGTGTGTGTGTGCATGGCATGCACACATGGAGAGGATAGATTTGGTGGGGCACCATCATTCCATCACATAAGAAGAAACACCGTCTAGAATTCATGAACACATGCGGTCTGGTAAAGGACAGCAGTGGAACCAGTCTTCAGTTCCTACTGATTTTACCTGTGAGCAATGGGTCTCATAGAAAAGGACCTCTCTGTTTAAGGCAACTCTGTCATTGTCATCCAAGCTTCAGAAGGTAACAATTAACCATTAATCCTCCCCCACTGGCAGACCATTCTTCTACTGTGATTTAATCCACAGACTCATTGGGGCAGTAAGAAAAGGAGATGCATGCCTACTCATTAGGACTTTTTTAGTGCCCTCTTGATACTTTCCCTTAAGTCCATGTGCTGTTTAGGAAATTCTGATTGCCCACAGCTATCATCACCAATTACTCCTTCTATGAATGGATAACCATTGTCAGGTTCAGCATCCCACAACCCCAATATTTCATGAATATATATGTTGCACCTCCCATTTATCTTATTTTCACTCTGCCCTTACCACCATCCCTCTCATTCTCCCCCTTCAACCCCATGATTATTAGCTGCTTGGTAATAAGGTATAAATCACTTTTTATGGCTTCTTCACCATATTTCTGCTAACAGCTACCATACCACATTAATGTTACATTATACACCCCAAA